AAGGAAAATAAAGATCGCAAGTAAAGCTATCTCAATGTTTTTTTGAAAATTTGTTGGACGAGGGCTGTTCCTAAAGGCCGTAGACAGATTGAAGACAGTTCTCGAGTTTCTCTCCTTTTAAAATTATATGAAACTGGAGACATTTCGTTTTTATTAAAATTTTAACAATGTAGGATGTGATGTAAACATGCAATCTGATTAAAATACAGATCTCTACATAGCGCAAAGTGCGCTTTGCGCTATGTAGAGATCTGTATTTTAATCAGATTGGTAAACATGTATCCGATATACATGTATGTGAACTGTACCCGATTCGAACCCCGATTGACCCTTTTTTGTTAATTACATAAAGATAATATTTAGCAACTGAAATGAAATTATGACGCATGCCTTGTACAAACTACTGCAGTATTATTATTGTGTGATGAAAATTTTATATAATAAGGATCATTTACACTGATTTTGTACATAATTTAATAATTCTGCAAATTCGAGGAGGGGGTTCAACCTCCATCTCTGAATTAGCTTGTACTTTGAATTATCAAAATTGTTAGGGTGGAAGACCTTTAATGTAGATAATTTATTTCTAAATAATGTTGATCCGCAGATTTTATAGTCAACAAAAGTAGAGGGCACTTGATTTGATACTAACTGATACTTCAGTAAAGCCTGAAACTGTGTGCTATGAAGTCTCCATCTCTCATGGTTCAAAAGTTATGGCGAAAGTTTGACAAAGCTATTTTTAGCATAAAGGTCACAGTAAAGGTCACAAGGTCATTGACCTTAGTGTCATTTGAAATACCTTAATTAGTGGAGTATGCACACCATATATAAAATCTATCTTTCATGGTTCAAAAGTTATGGTGAAAGATAATTTTTCCAATGGATTCTTTGTTAAAATTCTTTTTATGTATATTTTTGCAGCCGATTTGATTGCTTTGCATCAATTTAAACTTGTAAATTTTGTATCACTCTAAAAGGCGTCATTTTTCGACGGGGGTAATTTCTTATAGGACTCATATAAAAAATAATGACCCCCGGGGCTCTTTTTCTACAAAAAATAATTTTTTTTTTACGGCTAGGGGGTCATTTTTTTGTCGTTGAAAAATGATTCCCGGTCATTATTCGATGGGGGTTATTATTCGTCTTTACACTGGATATTAACTGATTTTTTTTAAAATCTATAATTCCAGAAAGTAGGATAGGGGCTACACACATTAACTTTGTACAGGCAAATACAGATATGAATCAGACACTTTATTTGTACACCTCGGTTGAAAGCTACAAAAACATGTTACATAGGGTTGTAAGTATTTTTAAATTTATTGATAATACGTCAAAATAAATGTACTGTTTTTAAACATATTACATAAGAGAGCTTTGGGCTTGGGCGTTCATACACTTTGGGGCGTGTCTTTCGATTGACCACGTGTTCCGTCGCGTTCTTCTTGATTTGGGTTTTTCGGCATTTGACTCCTGCGTCTAGATCTCCTACGCCTTACTAACATTGCAATGACTACGGTAATTGTAATAATTGCTGTTAAAACACCAATAACGATTCCTACAAGTTTTGTTTTCCCTGAATCGTCATCTATTTGACTTTCATTTTCCTTCAAGACTTGGCGGGTCCTATTTGTCCCACCTGAAATCCCATACGCGTCTCCAGGAAGTTCCATAAATGGGGGTCGTCTCAAAGGTGGAAGTCCTTTCTTGACGAAACTATGTGCTTTTAAGCAATAGTTGATTTCACAAGAATTTTCAATATTGGCCAACTGCATGCTATATCCCCTTGGACATCCCCGTGGCCAGAATTGTGGACTGGAAGATTTCAAATAGGAAAACAGCGGGAAAGGCTCTCTATTTTTAGAAAAGGCTTCTTGATTCAAATTTAAAGGATTTCCAGCCCTACAACTGAACAGTCCAGCAAAAGGTACAGAGTAACGAAATCCAAGCTCATAATCATCACTAACACATATTTTCATATCTTCACCAAGATTTAAGGGGTAAAAGTAGGGTGGGCAAGTATCAGACTGGGTAAGTGGATTATCAACAGAGCTGGTATAAATTCCACCAAACTGGAATCCGGATTGCTGTTTAGCATGCCCCCGTGCAAAACACCAGTATGCTTGATAGTTTGCACATACTTTTACTGAAGTATCATCCCAGCAATCAAATAACTTAAGAAAACCGCAATCACGATGTTTATTTATAATTACATAGCTACATTTCCTGCCCCTTGTGAGCAGAACAGGTTCATACCCACTTGGACAGGAGTAGCCACCAGTAAGAGGATTTTTCTGGGATAGTCCACTGAATACGCTTTCATAGGAGTTACATTCCTGGAACACTCCTCCAAACGTGTAGTTTGTCATCGCATTTTCACACGTGCCGTCATCAACGTTAGCAATGAAGTTGAAATTTGGTGAGTCCATATTGATACAGCCCCTATAAATATTAAATTTATAGTATTCCTCGACTGCCTCCTTTACAGTTTTAACGAGAGGGTAGATGATGGACGGTGGTAGGTCAGGAAGGGTTTGCGTCGAGATCAGGTGATATATTGGGAAACCTGATTTATCCACAGAAACTAAGTTCAAACCAAGTTCAGCGGCCCACTGACTGACAGTAAAGTTGTTGGGATGAAACACAGGCCCGCCGAAAGTTTCTATCCTTGAGTGCGTTCGATGGCTTACATATTGGTCGATAACTTCCTTAGACGTACTTTGTTTGTACTCTGAGTTAACAATAAATTTATTTAAGAAAGAGGCACTTGCAGCAGCCACGATCTGCCGACTGTCCATGTTGCCATTCTTACTAAGTGTGGACTCGACCTCGTCCATCTGTGCGATGACTGCCCCTGCATCTATGCTCGAAATGATGTGAGTACCGAAGTCTCTTACAAGCAACTGGCTCTCGTATCGGGCCATATTAGTTTTATTCGTCTGTATGTAATATGCAATGTTTTTGAGGTGGTTTTTAAAGGCTGGGTTCAGTGGAGTGTCGGGTTGTAATTTAGCAGAGTACCGAGTATACCGCGCTTGCACACGCGTAGTAGCCGATTTGTCCATAATTTGATTCTTACGCACATTCTTTGATTCATGAGAAAATTTTCCATTAATACCAAATTTCTCTAACTGAAGTCCAGCTTGCACGTTGATTGTAGTTGATGTAGTGGCGGTGTAGTTATTCCAGTGCTGGAACATTTCTCCAAAGATCTCTAGTTGACTGGATTTAATGGGAACAGTAAATACACTGTCTGGAATAAGGTACTTTCCATCATCCGTGGTTCGACACTTAACGAAGTTATGATGTACAAGCATCCCGCTAACTCTATTTTGAAGATTATCCCAACCGACTCCAGGGAGAACATCAAATCGGGCAACGTTTCCACCCATGTTCCATGCACACCATTTTTCGTCCCCCGGGTTGTAAGGGTTTGCAATTTGTTGAGAGGGAGAATGTGGTTCAACTTCCGTTGTAAATACTATAAATGCACACAAACAAAAAATACGTCCGATCGACATGATTACCGTTCAGAGAAATGAAAGATGGAAACAGCTTATTTATAATAAATAGTAAATGGAAATTTCTGGAAATCCTATCGAAGTGGGAGGGACTCTGAAAGAAGGTGATGCAACCTTTACCTCATTATCGAAAAGTTCTAGAAAATAATCTCTAAAGTAAAACATCATACACGTAGGATTCCTCTTAAAAGGCCGAGGTTCCAGAAAAAAGAAAATAACTGAAATGTTGGGCAAATCATTGATAAACAAGAGAGGCATGGGCCACAACGCTGACCTAAGTGACTTAAGCCCTGCTGTTCTTTATCAGATCCCCCCTTATAATATCTATTGTGACCCCCACCCTCCAGGGGCTCCAGATTTAAGGAAGGACCATACTTTTATGAATCCGGTTTTAATTTTACACACCAATATAAAATTCTGAGTATCACTTGCCTATTGAAATGAAATCCTTTTGAATGATTTAAAATAATTTATTCGAATAATATTTATTCATTTCATTTATCACAGTCAAAATCCCTCTTTTTGATATCTTAAATTCAGAATAAGGCTACTTTGGACATTTTTTTTTCAACTCAATTGATATTTTTTAAATCATATAATGCAATATACTAAGTATACTTAAACGACCTTAAGATCTGTAGCAAACCATTCAGATAAGTTTCATTTATTCTTTCTGGGGACAAAAATGTACAAAATTTGATGGTCAGTTCTGCTAATTATTTTATTACTATACTTGTATATACTTAAGAAAACGAAAGCAATCCCACGAAAATTGTAATCAGCCCTTTTGTGCTTTTGCTTTAAACTACTTCCAATGTCCATGAATTGTGCTTGTAGGCCTGGGAATGTGTAATAACAATGAAGTGCAAAAATGGAATTCAGACCACACCTGTACATGGTGTTTTAAATTTTTGATTTTGCTCGAAGGCGGTCTTATTAGCTTTGAGTAGGATGGACAAGATTACTGAGAAAGATTTAAATATAATTTAAAAAAAAAAATTGTCTGTAGAAGACGGTGATAGATTATTTAGAATCAAAAATGATATAATATCCGATCCGAAACTGAAAGGCCTGGGTCATTCAAAATTAAGAATAGAAATGACATCAGTAGAACAGAGGGATAGCCGAGTACTTGTTGACATCCCCAATATATGCACGTGCACAAATATGGCACGCCAAAGTCACAAAAATGAGCTAAACATAGTTTCACAGTCGATAAACTAGGTTTATCGGTTGTAAACTATAGTTTACGGACTGTAAACTATAGTTAATAACGTTAATCTATATGTTTACGTCTGTAAACCATAGTTAACGCGATAATCTATGTTTCACAACCGTAAACTTAACACCAAAAACAATCATTTGCGATTGCAAAACATAGATTATCTGATAAATACAGTTTCACGATTTATAAACTATATAGTTTACAAACCGTTAACTATAGTTAACGATCTGATAAATATAGTTCACGATTTGTGAAACTATGATTAACAACTCTTAACAATAATTTACGATTGTAAACTATAGTTTACAAACGTTTATCAACAAAATCTATTGTTAGCGCTTATTACAGACAGATAAACTTAGATTAGAATTCGTAAACTATATTTAACAACCGTTAAATTTAGTTTTACAAATGAAAACTATACTTTACGAATCGTTAACTATAGCTTACGGTTTGTAAACTATAGTTTACAGTCGAGACACCTAGTTTATCAATTGTGAAACTAGGTTTAGCTCATTTTTGTGAATTTGGCGTGCCATACACAAAGCCTGGACTTTTAACAAAAGAAAGCACACCAACTATGGTACAAATAGGCACTTGCGGACTCCCTCATACCTTTCCCATAGTTTTCTTTTTAAATCGGGGGAACGACACAGTTTTTCCTATATTTGTGTTTTATTATATGCACTTACCTAATATCGATACTGTATGTCTCTTTGAGCTGTTTTTGACTATACTGGTTTCGACTGATACATCGGTAACTAAATTGCACCGATTGTAGAGCCCTGTTTGCTTTTATTTTTTCTTACGTCTTCGTAACGCGGTGAAATCTATTCATTTTATTCATTAAAACATGACTCAAGTTGTTATCTTGAAAATTTTTGATAAAAGTTTGTATCACCTATCCTTTTTCTTACATCTTCGTATCTTTGAAAGTCATTTTGCTAAAACTAGCACTAGTTTTCAAATGAGTTTCATTTTATTATATGATCTCAAAAAATAACAAAAATACATACTAAAGAATATTTGCCATATGAATGTGTAAAAAAAAATTGTGTGTCCTTTATCTTTTAAAACAACGGTGTACATGTCTACCCTGATTGCGCGGTCTTCCTCATATACGAGGGGTGTTAGAAAAGTTCGCGGACAAGTTCTATCGTGAACGCGCTATTTCCACGAAATAAGTCAAACTTTCCATATACAATATTAACCTTTTTTCCAATAGATATACAAGAATATGGTGCTCTCCGGTGGTTATGAAAAATATACCGTTTTTTTTTTGTGGATAAAACTTGCTTCACGGAGCATGCTACATTTTGGCACGTTTACACCACAAAGACTTTTTATTAAAATTTAAAATTGCACAATTGTAGCGCAAAGAGATTTAATGATATTTTAACTGCCGCTAAAGTTTTCATGAAACGTCACTTGAAGAAAGAACTGGTTTGGTTTGAACATATTTTATTGTTAAGATGTTACAACAAAAGGATTGGACACAAGTACTTAATACTTAGAACGTCCTCTCCTTTATAACAATTAATTACACAGAGTTTTGTTCAAAAATTAATTTACACTGGAACAAAAGGTCAATAAGATTATTTAACATAGGTAATGCATGTACAGAATTTAAATTGATGTAGTATGTACAAACGAATCAAAATACTTCAAAAACGACCAGATCTCTTAATAAACAATTGCACATTTAAAAATAAACTTTCATTTTCAGAAATACTGATCGAATTATCTCCCCATAACAGAATATGAGTGTCTACAATACGTAAGTTAATCATTCTAAAAATAGCATTGAACAGGTCGTTTCTTGTAGCAGTGTATTTCGTACAAGAGAAAAAGAAATGAAAGAAAGAACTGCGAACGATAGTATTGTTTTCCCCCTTCCTTCAAGTCAATTTTCAAAATGTAAACATATTTGATGATTTTTTTTTATGTTTTCTTTTTCAGGAAAATGTTTCAAAAGAGATTTAAATGTTCAAGATGCTGCCTGGAATTTCCTACACATACAAAGGACAAAAGTTTTCAAAAGGTTGTAGCTTGATAAGAATGGAAGGATTAACATTTTGAATGGTTAACTCCATTGATACTTCAATACCCTCTTTTCGAATGGACGTTGTGTTGCGCATATATGGTTTTGCATAGTCTCCATACCTGATTGTTTAAATGCATAGACTTGATTATGTCCGAATTAGTACAGAAGACATTATAGTAGAAAAATAACGTGTCTTGATATAGATATTCAATTTAAAATATTAAAAAGTTAAGAAAAATATGAAGAAATGAAAAAAATGAAAGATTTATAGAACTGCGACAAAGCTTGACGGGTTGAAATCTGTTTGTCACGTCGCGTTAAGTCAAGTAATTGCTCCGTGAATCCCATGTCAACATGGTAAAAATCGTTGTAAATTTTCAAGATTTTAGTATACGGACCTGATTCTTTACATACCAATAGACAAAGTGTAAGAATTTATTCAGACATAGGTCATACTTCGTTACGCAATAGATTTTCTGTAATTCAATATGTCCGCGAACTTTCCTAACAACCCTCGTATATCGGAGAGCATTGTGAATATACTGTAGGCCTTTCAACTAATTTTTCAAGTTGCACATATGGTAAAAAACATTGCATAGATAGATTTATAGGTACATGAAATTATCAAAAAAGATAATAACTTATGCATACATTTAATTACATCATTAAAAAGTTAAATTATTTATAACTGACTTTTCCAATGTTGTGTTTTAAGGATAGGTAACTCATCAGGTGTGAAAAATGACCAAAGTGCCGATTTATGAGTTATCGTTTAAACTAACAGGAATGACATATAGCTATAGGCTGCTTCAGCATTGGTATCGTTATGTACACAAAAGGGTTCTTTACATTGTTTTGTACACAAAAGTGTTGACCATGAGAAAGAGAATGCCTTCACTCTACCTGAAATAACAGGGTCACATAGATGGGGAACAGACTATATTCAATATTTTTAACTCTCTTCGACGATTATTATGAAGAAGAAAATGTCATGTCATGTTTTTTGTTTTCGCGCTTTTTCGCTTCCTATATAAATATATATTTTTTTTACAAGTAAATGCAGCAATTGATTTTCTTACTTGTGTTACTAAGCACGAAGGGGAACGACCGAGTATAAAAAATTAATTAGGTTAGAACTAAGAAGGAGGGTAGATTTCACTTTTTATTTTAATTAAAACTTTTAATTATATGAAGTGAAATGGTGTCCGCAACTATACAGTAAATGATTTTAACATTGGTGCTACATTTTAAAACCACTGGATTCTACTGAGAGCAAGGAAACACTTGGGAAATGCTAAAAACTGTCTTGCATGTACCGGTAAACAGTTAGATACCCCAAGCCTGCTCTCAACATGTTTTAACAGTGAGTTATCGTTCATAAAACCGACCCCTAGCGGCAGTTGAAAGGCCTGTATACTGCCTCAATTTAACAGCGGTTAATAATTTTGGAATTAGTGGTAGAAAATTATCATGTTCGGCTTATATAAATTTGTTAGAAATGAAAATCTCTGATCAACGCCCAGGTGTACTTATTTTACATATAGGAAAAACGATGTTGACAATGTTACAGCTAAAGAACCATTTGTGAGGGAATTAAGCCTGCGTCTTGCATGCAACGCATAAACGTTAGCATTACGCTACAATATTGCACATGTGGAAATTTGTCAGCTTATGTCTCGTTTT